GCCTCTTACATGCGAAGCAAGCGCTCTCCCACTGAGCTACATCCCCTCCGTAACTCGGCTTGGGTGGGCACGTTCTCCTGGCACTCCAGGAATTGGGTTCTTATGTGCCAAAAGTACAGTTGGCTGAAGGGGAGGAGCTACAGCCACCCTGCGGGATGTTGTCTGCCGGGAGCTGGGGGATGCGAGGACTGATCATCCCACACCTGGTCAGCAAAGAGCAGCAGGCATGCAGTCCCACAGGAAGAGCTGATCTAACAAAGCGTTGTCTCCAAAGCCAGGGCTTTATCCAAAGGAGGGGTTCCCACAAAAAAGAGGGGTTGTATCCATAGGAGGGTTTATCCAGAAGTTGAACTCAGGAATTCTTGCAAAAGTGCAAGACATCTACCCCTACACCAACAATCTGGAGTGCTGCACCCCTTTTGCCTCCCCAGCCCTACAGTTTGTATTTCAGGGTACAGCTGAGGCTGTGCTTTTTCCCAGCACAGCCACGGCCTTGAGGAGGAATTTCGAGGGCAGCCATGCCAGGAGGAATCCCGAGGGCCTTTTGAAGGGACTCTGGCGGCCCTGCATCCAGCAGGGAGGAGTCCGGGGAGGCAAAAGGTGATGGAGATGCTGGGGGTTGATCCCAGGGCCTCTTGCATGCAAAGCAAGCGCTCTCCCGCTGAGCTACATCCCCTGCTCTGAGAGCATTTGCCTCCCAACCCTTGAAGCTTCATACTGCCTGCAGGAATTTGCCAAGCCAGGATGTGGGACCAGCCCTGTTCTAATGTATATCACAGCCCCAGAGACCCGGAGTGGCTTTGGTGTGCTCCTGAGGGACAAGAGCTGTGACTGTTGGGAAACTGCCTGGTTTTTTTCCCAGCTCCCATGGGGGTCAGCAGGGTGCTGGTGCTCCTACGGGTGCCATGGGGGCACAGTTCCAGGGCGGGACAGGGGGAATTTTCCACAACACAGTTCCTGAGGGCTGAGTTGCCTGTAGCTGTGCTGGGGTGGGAAGATGAGCTGCTGCAGGAGCCCCAGCCGCGAGGGACCCCCCTTCACACAGGAAGAACAGTGCAAAGAGATGATTTGCAGACTGCAGCAAGCCTCCAATGCCAATTATAACACATGGCTGTGCCAGGGCAGACATTCTCCCCATCCAAACCTCCTGAGCTGACTGAGGGGAACTGGGAAGTTGGTTCAGCCACAGCCTTTCATATCCCAGAGGGGTGGAGGAGAACAGGAAAGGGAAATGCTGCACCCCATGATTTCCAGGTCTCATAAACTCGTAACCCCCCACAGATACAGCTCCTTCAACCCCACATAACCAATGCTGACAGGAGCTACCCCACACAGCAATAACTACAGCACGCTTCTCCTCTTTGGGAGGTATGCAGACGCCTCTCAGCAAACGCAAATTAACAGCCCTGCAATGTTTTATCAAACCATTCTTGAGTGTAAAACTTAGATTCCCTCCCAGGACCCTGCAAACCGTTGGGATCTGGGCTCGACTTTCACTGTGCTCATCCCAGTCTTTCCCTGAGGGCTGCTCTCCACAGCAAAAACTCAGAGTAGAGGAGGCTGTAGGATAGCCAGGAGCGATGTCTGCTGGTGATGTGGGCTCAGGGTGACACAGTGCTGGTGGAGCCAACAGGGCTGCAGGACTCAAGTCTTGTGAGCCCCATTGCCACAGGGAGCACCAGGAGGACCAGACCTTCATGCCTGTGCCTTTTAATTTGTTTGCTTCTTCCCTCTTGACTCACATCTGTGGGCAGGCTGTTATTTTCCTATTTTATGGGATCTCCAGCCCTGGGGAAGAACTGGAGCCATTGGCAGAGCCACTGCCTGTCTGGCTTCCCAGGTGTGGCAGGGAGGGCACCCTGAGTCCCTGCCTTGTGCTTGATCCATGGGTGTCTGGGGTGGGATATCCTCAGTGGTGCCCTCTCCTCTCTCTTATCCTGGCCATGCAGCCACTTTCTTTCCCCTTCCTCAATCTGGAAGGTTGCTCCAAACTCCGTCCAGCCTGGCCTTGGATACATCCAGGGACTGGATGGGACAAGTCCCATCTCTCTGCTTGCCGTGCCTGCAGGTTCCCAGCTCCAGGGGTTCTCTCTCACCTGGCTGGCTCCAGGTGTATCTCAAAGTACTCTGGCCAGCAGTCCTTGCCCCAGTGAAGAGGATGAAGGATGCTGCCTGTTGATGCAGCTCACCCTCCAGCATTGCCCTCAGCCCAGTGCCCCAGTGCCTGTCTGGAATACACCTTTGGCAACCCAGTAAAGGCACAGGTGGTGGATCTGTCTTTTCATCCTCTCCCACTGCTGTGACGCACCACAATTCTTGTCTTCTCACCAGAGAAGCTGCAGATTGATGCGCTGTCTTGACCCACCAATAATCTAGCCACCACCAATCCCAGCCCTACCACCAGCAGCATGCTGCCTGGGACTTCCATAGTGTCATAGAATATCCTGAATTGGAAGGAATACATAAAGATTATCAAAGTCCAACACCTGGCTCTGCACAGACACCCCAACCATCCCACCCTGTCCCTGAAAGGGTTGTCCAAATGCTCCTCGAGCTCTGGCAGCCTTGGAGCTGTGCCCATTCCCTGGGGAGCCTGGTCAGTGCCCCACCACCCACTGGGGGAAGAACCTTTTCCTAATCCAGCCTGACCCTCCACAGGCAAAGTCTCCATTACAAATGGTCCCACTCACTTGCTGTTCACAGCAATCTCCCCTTTTCCACAACAGCTCTCTCAAACCATGACTTGTCCTCTAAACCATGACTTACCCTCTCCTTCCTACCTCATCCACCCCCAGGGTGGAAAGGTACCTGTTCTTCAGGAACCTGAGGATACTAAACGACCACAGGGAGAAGGTTTCCTCCAAGATCATGAAGCAGCCGAGAGAAGATGGGAAGTGGGCAAAGAGATGATTTGAAGACAGCAGCGAGAGAAGATGGGAAGTGGGAGGCATAAACCTCAACAGGCATGGCCAGAGGGTGGCACCTGGGCCATACTCCAGGCTCTTCTCAAAAATGCTTCTGCTGCTTTTGAATGCTTTAGGTAGGCAATGCTGGGACCAAATCCCAGGACCCAGCTATTTCCCTCCATGTGCCTCCACCTGCTGAGCAATATTTTTCATCCCCTTCTTGTTATGTAGCTCTGTGTTTCTCACTGGAGCCTTTGGCTGCAGTGCCTCTAGAGAAACCTGTATTTAGGGCCTGATCAGCAGGTCTGGGGGGTCCTGCCTGGGGCAAGGGCTGGCCTGGGGGGCAGGGGGGGATATGGTGAATTCAGGACTGCTCTTGAGCTGGAAGCCAAGGAGGCACAGCTCCCAGCTGGAGTCACAGCTCCCATGGGAGACAGAGTCCCCTGACCCTCAGGATAGGCAGCGCTGAAAGGCACCGAGGTCCTCATTTCCCCACCTGTCTACACTAAGACACCACAATTTTCAAGTCAAATCGAGGAGCTATTTAGATTTTTGTAGACATCGGATTTTCAGAAAAAAAAGCCCAAAAAACAAACAAATTAAAATCTGTACAACCTCACCAGTGGAGTCATTCAGTGAAAAGCTACATTAAAAATGTGATTATTCTGTCCACCTGCTCCCTCCTGGACTATTCGGTCCAGCAGGTTTGAGGAAGGCAGCTGCACAAGGCCCAGAGACCCACAGCTTCCCAACAAAACTTCAGCTGGAATTTCAAAGCTTTTTGTAATTTTTAATTCAAAATTTTGCATCCTATCTCTGCAGACAATTGCCAGGCTGGGATAAAAATATCTGAGCAGTCCTTGGAAGAAGGACACCTCCCTTCTCCTGGTGCACTGGCTGATGAGAAATTGCCATGCAAATTTTCTTCAAATTAGGAGCACTTCAGAAAAGGTCTCCTGGGCATTAAAACCAGTTGAGCTTGGTCAAAGGCTTTTGATGACCAATAGGCTTTCAAGCTCAGCATAATCCCTCATTATGAATGCTCACAAACTTTATGCACATAGTCCTATTCCTTCTTCCATCAGCTGAAAAGGTTCTGCCTCATGATCCATGGCATTTTAAAAAGAGGCTTTACTCAATTCCTAACATCTTCAGGGACTTCAGTGTCCCCTCTCCATCAAGTAATTATTGTCTCTTCTTTTTCACTCTTCACTGTCACCCATTAAACACTATGTGAGCTTGGCATAGAATGCCCCTCCAAAAAAGCCCATCTGCCAAAAATCCCACTTCTGCCTTTTTTTCCCTGACTCCATGCCTGCCTCCTTAGCTCAGCCCCACAAAATATCACTGCAAAATGCAGGGTAAATGCCATTTTGAAATGTCAAACCTTCACATTCCCAGCTCCTTGAGGGAACAGGCAATAAAGTGTGCTCTTGCAGGAATTCCTCCCTGAGCAGGTGCTTGCCATGGGGCAGGAGGAGAGGTTTCCAGGATAAGAGAGTTGCCTCGGGACTGATTCCAGCAAACCACACACGTCTGTCAGCACAGGGAAGAAAGAGCTGGGTAGCAGAAACCCTCATTTCATGTAAAAACCAAACCTCCCCAGCTGCCTCCAGAGGAGGTCACTCCTTCAGGCTCCTGAACAAGGAACAACCGAAGACTCAGGCTATGATGTAGCAAGTCTTTAATGAGGAGGAGAGTCAACCAGTTCAGAGTACAAAGTGTGCTTCCAGTGCCCAGTAAAGAAATGGATAAACCCCACTTTGGGACAAGCTGATCTCTACAAGGGGTGTCCCCTAGTTCCACCACCCCATGATTATCATCTGCCATCTACAACCTGCTAGAAGCATGTATTGCCCAGCCAGCAGCAAATGCCGTGCAGAGCATGGAAATATAAAGACTTAGTGAGATAAAGGTGTACAGAGGTACGGTCTGGAGTGACGAGCTCGCATGGCTACCATCCTCCTGGGGCAACTGCTGGGAAACCCAGGGGCATCTCCTTAGTCCTCTCCCCCAGTCTTGGTCGTGTGCTTTGCTTTCCTTTCCTGACCACACTGCTAGCACGGGCAGGAGGAGCAGCGCGCTGGGGACACCCTACAGCCCGGTGCCCAGGCACAGCAGTCCTGCCCTGCCCAGCCCCCGGGAGCCCACAGGGATGCCGCAGCAGCGCAGGTAGCTCCCGACCGCCGCCGACGCCGTGGAGCCCACCGTGGTGTTCTGCGGGAAGGAGCTGAGGATGGGCCCGGGCAGCGTGACCACGACCGTGGGTGGCTGGATGAAGGCGGTGGAGTCCCTGCAGCGGCGGAAGCAGGGCTGGGTGCAGCTGGTGGCCAGGGGCCGGGGGCCGCAAGAGGAGGGCAGGCACAGGTCGTAGCAGGACATGGCTCAGCAAGGATGTGCACCTGAAAGCCAGAGCTGGGATGTAAAAACAAGGCAGAGGCCAGTCTGTCCTTGCTGAGCCCTCACTCAATGCCTCCCATAATAAGAGGCATGAGAGAGCAACCTACAGGGTGAGTTTGGATGGTTTAGAAACACCAAAAGAAAGCTTCCCCCCCCCTTGCCCCATAAACCACTCAGGAGAATGAGGGGAATTTTGTTTGAGCTGCAGGTTGGTCTGGGAAAGTTGGAGGCACCAGGTTCTGGGACCACAGAGCAGACCTACTCCTGCTTCGAGCTGACGGGGAGCCTTTGGCAAGCAAAGTGGTCACAAGATGCTCATGGTTGAAGCAAAACCCACTTAGATCAACACAACATGAACTGAACCATTCCATCCCAAAATATAAGGGACATTTGATGCTCATCCATAAACAGGGACACATTGATCCCTGCAACTCAGGCATGTCCTGTTCTAATTTGTTTCTCTGCTTCAGCAAGGAAAATCATGCAGGATGCAACTGATTATGTGGTTGCAGACCCTATAAGCTCTGCATCCTTGCACTCTTCATTTTAGGGCAGAAATACACCCTTCCCTGATGTCCTGTGCAGCTGGAAGGGAAAAGGCAGGGATGGGGAAGGGGATGGAGCCTGTCTCGACTTACCCAGATGGAGGTGGCAGTGGTGGCAGCTGGAGCAGGTGGTGGGGCCAAGCACTGTCCGCACAATTTTATAGGGTGGCCCAGCCCCCCAGGGGAGTGGGTGTGTGCCTTCAGTCTGAAATTCCCCAACAACCAGCAGTTTTCTCCTGGAAAGCTCCCCTGACTGATTAAACAGTTCCTTCTTTCATCTCTCATGTTTTGCTTCCATGTAATACTGAGTAAGATTGAAATGATTTGGGCTACAGGCATTAATTACCTTACTTCCTAAGGCCAAGGGACATTTTAGGTCTTTATGCCACCAGGCAGGAGAGTGTTTCAGCAGAATTTAGAGCAGACATATCCCCACCTTCCTCTCAGCACAACCAATTCAGCTCTCTCATGCACCTGAGGTGAGATCAAGGATGTAAACTGAATGTAAGGAACATCCATTTGGAGTGAAATCCTGTGCCAGGAGTTTCATGGAGGCCAGGAAAGCTGAGGGGCTGCAGGACTGAAGGAGTGAGGATATGAGTGATGTGGACACAGGGAACTGACCTAGCCCAGCGTGAGCAATTTGTTATGGGTTTGGATGCACTTAGAGGATTTTTCTGCTTTTTTTTTTTTTTGTGTGTGTGTGGGTGTGAGTTTTTTGTGGTTTTGTTGTTGTTGTTGTTTGTTGTTTGTTGTTTGTTTTTTTGTTTTTTTGGGGTTTTTTTTTTGTTATTATTCCTCACACCTGGGGTATAAGTCGTGCTTGGAAGGCACATCAGATTTTAAAAGCAAAGTGGGGCTCTGAAGTCCAGCCCCACAGATGACACATACCTAAACTGGCTGATTTTGTGCAAGGAACTGACTTCCAAGAGCCCTTCCATCCCATTCTTTGGATAGGGTGGTAGCAGTGAGCCAGAAGGTCACAGGTGTCCTTCCTTGTGATGGGGTGACATCGTCAAGACAGGGTTAATTACAGTAATTACAGGCTCTGGTGTGACACCGGGGATCTGGGATCTGCTGTAAGCCTGTTAGCTATTAAACATCCCAAACATCTCAACCTGCACTTAAACATGAATCAGCCTCACATTGGGGAGAGGGAATTGCTGATGTGGACCCAAGCAAGACCATGATGAGCCATCATGAGCTCCAGAGGCAAGGAAAGTCTGAAACTGGCTTTTCATTTCACACAAGCAGAGCCCAACTGACAGCACAAACATCTCTTGCCCTGGAATAAACCCTGGCAGAACTGGGAGACGTATACTATGTGTGTGTGGGGCTGTGAGCATCTTGTTAAAGATGTGCCTTGTGGGGTTTGGGGGGTCATTTGAGTTCTTGAGATGACTTGGCCACAATGGATATCACTGAATGGTCCCTAGTGACTCTTCTCTGCTTGCCTGTCAGGGCAACAAAGCCTTTCCAAGGTTCTGAGGCCAAACTCAGCTATTTTTTAACGTCATTCTGGAAGGGGGAAAAGGGAATCACATCTGAGGTTCAGCAGAGGACATGGGCTTCAGGGAGAAGCAACCTGGCGGCGCCTGGAGTAAGGCAGGACGCTGTGGGCTCATCATTCATAATCTCCTAAATGGCAACTTGGGAAGCAGGAAAAGATGAGGTTAAAGTTTAAGCTTTACTGTGCTGCTTTTTGCTCCACTCTTGAATAATAAATTGATGCCACAAATGCATCTTGGACCCACAGCTTGAGAATTAAACCCTTCTTCTACCAATCTGGTTTGTTTGGTTTTTTCTTTTTTTTTTTGTTCTGTGTTTCTGTGCACTCCCATTTTCTCAGGAAAACAGCCCTTCCTGGGTGACTCCCTTCCACGCTTCCAGGCACAGGGTGGGATATTCAGAACTGCAGCCTCGCTGTGTGTTTCAGTTTTGAAATACAGTTTAAGCACTTGAGATTCTGCTCACACTTGGACCATCATGCCCGAGAATAATATCCATAGATGCAGTGATGCTTGGGATAAATGCAATGTGGCACTCAGAGGGGAAATATTGTCGAATGTGAGCAGATCTGTGGACTGAAACAAGTCCTTTTTCCAGAAAAGACAGCAGGGGAAACAAAAGGCACATGTTAGGAAGTTAAAATAATCTGATATGTGTAGTGACTGAATTTTTAAAAACAAAAACAGATGGGGACAGGGCAGATATTTGGGAGAAAAACAAAGACTGACTTTCCAATCTGTATTCATTTCAGGGATTGAGCACTTACTGCTCGAGATGTGACTTTCTCTGTATGAACCTCAAACCTGAGAAAATTTCACCAAACAAAACATGTTGGATCCATTTCCTTAACTTCTGCATGGATCCAGGATGTGTGGCCACCTCAGCCCTGCCCCTTCCTGCAAGTAAGGACACAAAAAACATGGCCCAGGATCAATAATCCATGTGTTTCCCTTCCTATCACCAGTCCCAGTTGCACTTTGCATTTTGATTTCCAATGACCCAAGGGCTGGATGTGTCCGAGACTGGCTGGAGGGAGGGAGCTTGCCCCTGTCCTAAAATTTCTCCTGAAAGCTAAAGGCAGGGTCACATCTTGGAGCAGCAACAGACCTACAGCATCCCATCTCCAAGAAATGTCTGCATGCAGGGTGCTCACCCAAGGGCTTGCCTACTGGCAGCAGGACAGTCACGGACCACTCCCAGCTGGCTGATGGATGAGTGGGACACCCCAGTGCCAGAAGGCAGAATCCTGATGCAGCCAGACCCAGGCACAGAGTATCCTGGCTGCCTGTGTCCTTGCCAAAGCAGACTCGGGGTGCTCCAGGGCCACTCTGTGCAGCCCAGGGAGCCCAGCGGGTGCCACTGGGGAGAGACAGGCTCCGGCTGCCAGGCGCTGTCCCGAGGCTGCAGATGATCCAGTTCCATGCCAAAGGATCCCTGTAATTTCCAGGTCCCAGAGTGGGCTGATGCCCCACAGCACCACTGACAGTGGCACATTCCCTTCAGGAGGACTCGTCACCGCTCACCAGGACAGGGACATGTGTGTGCCAGGGCAGGGTTGAAGGGTGTCCCAAATAAATCAGTAGGGGTCCTCTCCTGGCTGCCTGTGCTCTGCAAGTCCCCGGTCCTATCCTGTGACAGCAGTCCCCCTGCCATGCACTGCTGTACCTCTGCACCCACCACCCCAGCCCATTTCATCATCTCCAACCGCAGGTTGGTCTCTCTGCAGGGCTGGACCCAAACTCATGTATTTTTCCCAGGAAATCTCACACAGATCCCTTGCAGGGCACCTGGCTGTCCAGGCAGCAACATCTCCCCCTTCCTAGGGTGGCAGACCTGGCCAAGCAGCACAGCATCTCATGGCAGTGGAATGGGATGGGGCCGGTGTTTCCCCCCAGTTTGGTCATGGTTTGTGGCTCAGGAGACACTGATAGAGGGAAGCAGCTCCTCACTCGTCCCCAGAGACATCTCCCCAAGGCATGGGAAGGAAATGTAGCCACAGTGACGGTAAAAAAGGTGTGGGCAGCTAAGCCTGAGCATCCTCACCTTGTCTTGAAGCCATGGAATTGCTCATCAGTGGAGAGGAGTAGAGGGGAGAAGGGGAAGGCACTAGAAAGACTGGCACGATACATTTCCCCAGGTGCCTCAAAGCACAGACTCCCGGATGCAAGGGTTTCCTCTCTGCTTCTGAGATTCCAGAAGCAGTTTTACCTCCTTCCTCTTCATCTTGCCATTGGTCACTCTGTCCTGTCTCCAGGAATCTCCACTGTGAGCACTGCTCCAGGCACAGGAGGGAGCTGCCAGTGCACAGTAGCTCTGCCTTCTCCAGAACAAGCTCCTCTGAGACATGCCAGAGGCAGCTTTTGACTCCCATTGGCATCCTTGAGGATGCCCAGGGATGGGCAGTCCTGACCTCCCCTGCCTACAGTTCAGTGCTCCTGGAGAGGAGGCAGCGGGATGGCAGGAGAGCAGCTGGCAGGTGGGCTCAGGCACCCTGCTACCATGGCACATTGCACAGAAGGGCCACACCAGACCCTGAGCCACGAGGAGCACGCTCAGCCCCTGGCAGCAGCAGCCCCGGGGCAGATGTAACGCGCATTTGACAGAGCAGAGCAAAACACCGAGAGCAGGAGGGCACGGGAAGCTGCACAAAAGAGCATGCCACAGGAGACAGTATACAGGGAAGCCGACGAGGGTGGGATTCGAACCCACGCGTGCAGAGCACAATGGATTAGCAGTCCATCGCCTTAACCACTCGGCCACCTCGTCCCCTACTGGCCTGTTCTTTTTAGCAAATTTCCTTTTGCAGATTTTTTGGGGGGGGTTGTGGTTTTTTGGGGGTTTTTTTTGGTTTGGTTTTTTTTTTTGTGTTTTGGTTTTTTTGGGGGGGGGAGTGGTTTTTTTGTTTGTTTGTTTGCCCATAGACAGCAA